GTGAGGGTTTTTTTCCAGATTCAGCAGGGCCTTCAACTAGAAAGCAAGATGATACAAGCTTGGAGGATAGGGTCTTGTCATTAGAAAAAACAGCAGAGGTTGAAATGGTCAAGGAGAAGATGAGGACTCTGTGTCTGCAAGAAGATCCAAGTAATGCCCAAATTTTGTCGATATTAGACGATTTGGCAGAGACAGCTAAATAAAGCACGAGGATGCTGACATGTTTGATGAGTTGTATAGACAGGCTAATAGATATCAGTCCAAATTGCATATTTCAAATCTGTGTCTATCAGTGTTAGGCGGAAAGGTAGCAGATGCTATTTCAAAGGCAATATCTAAAAAAAAGTCTATGGTTAAAATATCTGAAATAAGATTGATTGTTCCTTAGTAAATTTGTTTTCTTTTGAGGTAGGATTTTTTTTTGGTATGATAGGAACGAATTCGTTTAACTGCAATCCAAGGGACACTGACACCCTAGTGATTTATCACGTGGATTGCAGGTAAAGTGATTCTTCCTTTAGGTGTGATTAGTGCTGGTTGTTTAATGTGAAATATATAGGATTATAATCGGTGATTTTAATTTTACAGAAAGTGGAGTTTGTTCACGATGATGTATCTTGTATGAAATTTCCAACCAGGGAGTTGAATTGTGTTTCAATTCTGTGAAGATAAGGGAACAACCAGTATGGTTTACACTTGAAGGAGGAATCCCTTAACCTGGAGTCCATTTACCTCGGGCAGAGGAAGTAATCAGTGGTGACTTACAATGTGATGAAATGGCTTGCTTCAGGTACAGTGGAAGGTTTAATTCAACAGTTGATTAATATATTTGATGATTATGGTTGTGGTAGAGTATGGGGTGTCGTATCTAGAATTGGGAATCCGGCAGCATCCCCTTTGGTGAAAGAGTACCTTAAACTGATAAGGGAAGAGCAAGCTAGGGTTCATGTATTGCCTAAACAGGCTAAACCAATTTTCTTATCTAAAGTCAGAACATTTGCTTTGTTTATAGGTATGGAATTAGGCAGATCCGATCTGTCACTTAGAGAGAGGTTCGTTTTGGCTAGGGATCAGGCATGGATTAAGGTTCAATTTTTTTGCAGGTTATAGGGCAAGTGATTTATCTTTGGTGGTTTCTCAGGAAGTGAAGATTTTTGAGGCTGGTTCAGGTTTGGTATTCCAGCATACATGAGGGGTGAGAAGAGTAAGAACAATTCATTTGTAATTAAAAGTTGTGAAGACTAAGTTCTTTTACCAATCAAATGTCTGTTGGACTATTTCTTATTGCAAAAAAATGAAGGTTGATTTGTCCATGGGATATTTGTTTAGAATAGTGTCAGAAAACGGAATGGTTTTGGATAAAAACATTAGTTATTCTGTGGTTTACGAGAGGCTGTTGTACTATCTCTCTACGTTAGGCATTTACGAGGGTGAGACGCCGCACAGCGTCAGATCTGGTTGTGCAACTACAGTGGCTTTATCTGGCTCAGCTGACAATACAGACCAAGTGATGAGACATATAGGTTGGTTTGGCAAATCAAGTGCGGAGTACTATTGTAGAATGCATACTATGATTGATTCAGGTATTGTTGCATCAAAATTGGCGGAGTCTGTTTCTCAAGATGTTATTGAATCAGATTATAAGGGAAAGGCGGACTATACTTATTTAGGGAAAGCATTTATTTAGCTTGGAATTGTGATTTCCTGTAGAAGTCATATTTATGTATGTGCAGAATAACATTGTTGATATGTTCATTCAAAATAAATGGCAATATATTTTTAAGTGTATGAGTCGACTTCTACATGAAGATCGTTTAGATTGAATACCTTCAGATGTATCGTAATTATGTACATAAGTGATTTTCCTTAGAATTATGTATATGATTTATTGTCATAATTTTTGTGGAAATGAAATTTGTTATTCTCATGTATATTTTTTTGATATTTTGCTTTCTGATAAAGATGGAAATGGATTGTTTTGTATTTAATTTTATTTTGAGTATTGGGAGAAGAATGTCATATTATTTGGGGTTAATTGAATGAATGGAGAAGGGTGATTGCAAGAATGCAGAGTTTTTAATGCCCAAAACTTAAACATGATCTGAATGCTGGAAGATATTAAACACTGGGGATAGGGTGAGAGCCTCATTGGTTTAAGATCGATGCGGAAGTACATGTGACGTAGTATTCTTTCTTCAGACATCCATGCTTGATAGTGGATAATGTATACCGAAGGAATGATGATAAGAATGATGATGATCAATGACTGAAATTTTTTTCCACCAACCCACCCACCCACCCATCTTGTGGATGGGATCAGGAATGTATTTTAGTTTGTACACCTGTAGTAAATGTGCATTTTAGGTGGTGATGATTTTTCTATGTTAAAATTTACTAGATATGCAGTGTTTGATACCATCCTACATTCAGATTTCCATCCTGCAGAGTTTTTATGCCCAACCCTTCAAACATGATCTGAATGGTGGAAGATATTAAACACTGAGGATAGGGTAAAAAGATGGTCTCAAGGTAAGGGAGGTAACAAAATAGACCCAATTCATTATACTGATATTCGTCTTTTATCTTAGACCATTAGAAAGTCCATTTATAAAATTTAAAAAAAAATCGAGGCCATGCCAAAAAAAGGTAGAAAGGCAGAGAAAACCAAATATTTGCATAACTTTGCCCTTGATGCTGTTAACAGCTGTATAGGATAACTCAAGATCATGCAACATATGACGGACATGCAGATAAAATGAAAAATAACAAGCTGTCTTATGCCAAACATGCATTGGTGATGTTACATAGAGGATTATGCAGAAAACACTTGCTACTATGCAAAGGGAGAGCAATTGGTAAAAACTGGGTAAGACAGAGTTCATACCTATGCCAAGAATTTGAAATACCGCCTTCCGCTGAGAACGAATCTAGGCTCGATGCTAGCATCTCAAAGAAATTGTCTCAAGTCGTCTGGGACAGACGAATCAAAAACAGCAATTCTCAGAAGATGGAAAGTTTCAACAAAACTCTGCGACGAACAAGATAAAAACAATGATACACTTGAAAAACACCATGAACATTTTTTTTTAAATATATCAAATTGCTACATACCTGTTCCTTAATTACTTGGGAAATGAATGTGTTTAAAAAGATTTACTGAGAATTCCTGTGGAATCAATTTAATTCGTTTGGCCTGTACGCTACGTAATAGACAGACTTTATTTAGGTCAAGATATTTTACGATAGTTTGAATTCTTAAAAATTATTTTTAATTTCCAGTGTTTATTACTAAATTTTATTATTTATTTTTTTTAAATTCAGTGGTTATTTTATTTAATAAAATTATTGACACAACTTGATCATATTTAAACCACAATTCCATCATATTTAAACCTTTTTCTGAGTCAGAAAATTCTAATCCAACAAATCCTAGATAAAACGGTTGTGTCTATGCAACATTATTTCTCCTAAATGTTGCCAAAATTAGGAATGGGGCTCTAACTCACTATAATAAATAGGACAGGAAATTTTCTGGAAGCCAAGCCATTCTTCTTGCAGTCTGTCAAGGAACAAGTGTGTATGAGACCATCTGTTAGCTCTCCCAGTAATTGATGGGTCGATCATTCAAGCGATGACTTTAGACCTGATTGAAGAAACCATCATGGAAGGACCAGAAACAACATACTTCTGAAAAAACTTTAACCTTTTCCATATCTATTCAATGGTTGCTGCTAGGGCTTTCATATTTCACAGGTTTATTCCTTATTTGGTTGGACAAAGTTAAGCCTCGTAGGTTGCCATATGCACAAAAAGAAATTGTAGAAAAAGAAATTCAGAAAATGCTTGATAATAATATCGTTGAACCAAGTGAACGTCTCTGGTCTGCTCCTTTGATATTTATGGTGTCCGGATAGGGCCATTTGCAAAAGCTCAACAGCGCGTTCAGAAAAACACGCCGTCGCGCTAACACACAACACGCTGTCACGCTAACACAATTTCGCACAACACGCCGTCGCGCTAACACACAACGCGCTGTCACGCTAACACAAGTTCGCACAACACGATGTCACGCTAACACACAACGCGCTGTCACGCTAACACAAGTTCGCACAACACGATGTCACGCTAACACACAACGCGCTGTCACGCTAACACAAGTTCGCACAACACGATGTCACGCTAACACACAACGCGCTGTCACGCTAACACAAGTTCGCACAACACGCCGTCGCGCTGTCACACAACTCGCTAACACAACTTTGCACTCACAGTCTACAGGGAAGTCGTGTACGGAAATGCGGACTGCGCATGCTGATTGAACTAATACACGTGTAATGGAGGGATATTCGTCTTTGACCATGTCAGAAAACCCAGAGGACACAACTCGTAAATATTACACTGTATTTAAATGCTATTTAATGGTTTTACAGAAGGTTTTTTTTTTAAATCAAATGAAAATTTAGAAATTATAAAGCTTAGAGACCGAATTTAATCATTACATTTACAAATCCATACGTGTAGTAAGTTAATATCTCTTGTCCAATTGTATGAACTTTTATTAATGAATTTTTAATTAAAATATATTTTACTGATGGTTTAATAGGAATTGAAAACAACCTATATATTATAAACTTTCTCCAGGGAGTGGAAATCTAACATATTATGAATATAGCGATATTACTATTATAGTAATTACAGAGTCGATCTGGTATTCAGGTGCTTGGGTCTTTGCTCATGAATATGTACAATAACTACATGAACTATGTACATTATGTAATAAATAAAAAGATATAAAGGTAGCGTACACATGAACAAAGACCCAAGCACCTGTGATTGTGTAATTTTGTGTAGAAGGGGAATTAAATGATAAATTAATTACCTTAGTTTAACTTTTACCATGCAGTAGTCAGTAGTTGCATTTATAATAATTTGTTCTTTTTCTTATTGATATTAAAGGAGAAGACCTCATTCGAGAATACTTTTATGGTGGATGCACAAATCTGGAGATATGTGGTATCCTGCTCTTGCGACACAAAATAGTAATAAGGTACATGTAATATTTGAAAATTGAAATTGGTCTGCCAAGTAGTCAAAATCTAGGTAATGTGATTACTCAAGTGTACATTGTTACTTTACAGCCTGTCATATATTACACCTATTTATTTTGAATAGGAAACCTCTAGAACACTCTTATATTCTATTATGGGTATTTCTTTTTAAGAAGAGTTCACATAGATCTGCCCAGAACAGGGTGGATTCTAGTCAGCACCAGTTCGGAACTAGAAGAACTAGGAAAAAATTGAAATAAATCAACTTTTTAACAAAAAAGAAGGAAATTCTTTACCTGATAAATCATTAATTGCATTACAATTTCCTGTTGCAAGTGACCGCACTTTAAGTAACTTTGTTTGGTGATCACTAACTAATCCAAACCATAAAAATGATCAATTGATTGTTGAAAAACAAAAATTTAAAGAAATTATCCCTAGATAAAATCACACAATGAAGTGCAAATGCATGTCTATTACATATAGCTGAAGTCATATGTCATTTAAGCAAACTTCCTAGCTTTGATTTAGTAAATAATGTGAAGCTTGACACAAAATTTTTAACTGTATTGAGAGAAATCAATTACTTTACTAATATGTTGTAATTTGCCCCCCCCCCCTCCTAAAAAAAGAGAGAGAGAGGGAGAAAAGAAACATGAAAAACCCAAAACCCACAAGTCATATTAACTGACAGAATTACTGAATTTTAAGAAAATGTTAAAAAGTAGAATATTTCTGAAATTTTGTTTTATTGATCAGCACAATTTATATCCAAGGCAAACAAAATATCAATTTTTTATTGATTGAATTTTTACATCCAGTGTGAGACATCTGAAAAGGATAATGGCAATGATGGGACTTAAAAGACGGATGCTGCAAAACACTGTTGAGGCATCTTGTGTTATCATGGTAAGATTAAAATTATTAAAATAATTGGAAGTAGAGAATTAATCATTAATGGTTCCAAATATCCTCTTTACAAAAGTGAAAAATAAATTTGTCTGTAATCACTTTAAATTACTGACAAGAAATTGAATTGAACTTATTGAGTTGGCTCTTATATATACAGTTGTTAATTAATAGAAATTAATGCTTATTTTGTATTGAATAAAGTTGGAGCAAGGTCAGAGTTTATGGTCATGTTCTCAATTAATTCACACAAAAGTGCATATTATTTGAAATCAAATTAGTTGCTCTGTATTTTACCATATTATAAAGTTTCCAATATTTCAATACTTAATTTTTGAAAGAATAAATCTGATGATTTTTTAAATGAAAAATTCAATTTTCAGAGTAAATATAATGTACATGTAGTAAAGAGTGTAATTTAAAGTAATCCTATGGTAGTAATTGTAAAATGTAAATGTAATTGTGATATGCATGCATATATAGTTATATCCACACAAGTGACATTACTACTTCTCTCTAAGTATAATTATGATGAAATGAAAAAGAAGTATTCAAAAATAGAATTCTTTTAGGAAGAACTGCAGGGAAGTGGTTCTTCTCTTGGATGTCGTGGATTACAGCGTCGTCTTTTATCACATCATGGACTTGTGGTTTCAAGGTTAGTTTTTGTACAGCATGCTAAATAATAAGGGTGGAGGGCAAAGAAGAAAATGATGAAACATTGTAAGTTAAGTTATGCAACTTTTAAGCAATCATGAATACAATGATTAATTTGCTTAGTGTGAACTCAGATTCTTTTTTTTTGTTTAATTGTGCCCATCATTATTTTGAATAAAGAGAACAAGTTTTAGCCATTCAAAAGGAATTGGACCCTATTGGTGTTTTGGAAAGAAAACAGAGGCGTCTAAAGAGAAGAGTATATCATAACAAAGGACCTAATTATCTTTTACATGTGGATGGGTATGATAAGCTTAAGAGGTTTGGATTTGCTATTCATGGATGTGTTTGTGGGTATGTGTTATAAATTTCTGTGTTATGTATCACATGTTTCAATATTACCAGTATTAAAATATATGTAACAAAAGAAATAGTTTCATGCCAAGAATGCTTTCGCCACAACTGAAACACTTGCTGTCAGTGCATTAATACAATTCCTTGGTTGATATGTAAAAGTGCTCATTGTCAAGACCAAAGAGCACATTTGCAATCATATATTTGGTAATGTATGTTTCATAAAGAAAAATTTACACTGTTCTGTTCTATTTTAAAAATATTTCCTCACATGTCTTTTTCAAAGATTTTCAAGGCGTGTGTTGTGGCTAAAAGTAGGCAGATCAAACAATGATCCCAGGGTGATCGCTTCATATTTTTTGGATTTTTTAAAAGAAATTAAAGGTAAGGTCTTCCATATTTTTATGACAAGTTTGAAATACTTGAAACATTTTCTAAAGAAAAAACATTAATGTAGATGTTAATTGTGTTTGAAAAATCTGTTATCTTTCAATTAAGTAAAAACTTAATCCATAAGAAATAATGGATCAGCTTTAATTGAATTTAGTGCATTAAGCAAAGTAACTATAGGTGAACATAAAATATGATTTTTTTATGATCTCATGGAGTATGTAGACTTTATAATGTTGGGTCCATGAAAGAATCATTATGATGAAGTTTCAATGAATCTTCTTCACTTCCTCAAAGCATCTATGAGATTTTTATCATAGAAAACAATGTGTATAACAGTAAATAAACTTTATACAGCAAGTTTAATTGATTATAATATATGATTTAAAATATATGCCTTAACAGCAACAATTTTAATCATATCTTAATAATTGCTGTAAAATTAAAGGTTATAAACATGGATAGTATGAATTTTTGCATATATAGAATTGATTTAGACCCATGCACTAGCTCTTATCATGTGAATTGTGCATATATTTATTCTCGTGCTAATTAAAAGTGGGATTCTAAAATAATAAACATATTACCAGTTACCGGTATATCAGTGCTTTTATGGTCAATTTAATGACTGCATGGTTTTAACCACCCTCCTCTCTATCAATATGTATTGAATTAAAGGAGTTCCTAGGTGTATCAGATCAGATGAAGGAACAGAAAACTGTATCATAGCTGATTTTCAACGGGCCTTTCGGTGGTACCATGATGATGATATGGCTGGGGAGAGAAGTTTTCTAACAGGATCATCACCTTCAAATCAAGTATTATAAACATTAATATGTCTAAATTAATTTTACATAATTTGTAATTAAACAGTATGTAATATGAATTAAAAATGAAACAACTAATCCCAATAAATGTTCTCGTTTGCTCCGCTTCAGAGAATAGAACGATGGTGGTTGTCAAACAAACAAGGTGGTGGACAATTCTGGATTGAGTTTTTTAGCAATTTAGAGCACATAGGAAAGTTTTCCACCACAAACCATGTTCAACTGTAAGTTCTTTCACCAAAAAAAAAAAATGGATACAGTACACTTTCATACTAGGATCTATAGATCTCATAAATTGCATGTTCAAATTTTAAATGCTAGACACAAAATTTCAATTTTGGATTAATCCAGACTGATTATGTGGACTTCCATTTAATTCTTTGTGATGAAGAGGTATAGTGATGGAGGCCATGTAAATTTCATGTCTCTATATATATGCATGCTTGCATTGCTTTTGTCCAAAAGATTGCAATTAAGGAATTAAGAATTTAAATTGATATGGGTTTACAGATGGGTTATTGTCAACAGTGTGGCTTACATGTAACACTGTTTGCTTTTCATATAGACCCTTCCTTTTACAGAAGTCGTATATTAGGTACAGCAAAATCAAAAGTATGCACATTTTTCTTCCTATGATATTAAAATTGAGTCAATATGCTCATTGAAGTATTAAATACTGGTAAAAAACCTTCTTTGGAAACCTAAAATCACCAATAAAAAACCAAAGATGAAGGATTTTTATATAAATGAATAAGTACAGAAATAATTTTTTTACTTGTAAGATTTAATTAAAATTTGTCATAAAAGATGTATGACTAATTGTTATGCTTAAATTAAAATGACACCTCTACAGGACTAAATCAGTTCTATATGATTATCAAGAAATTCAAAATATATACGAGTTCATTATAACTCTAAATTTTACAGGAATTATGAAGAATTTTCCCAGGGAAACCACAAAGTTTCCTGATTTCATGATATGCATGTGCATTTGTATTAAACAAGTTAAATTTTTTTTTGTGTGTCTTATAGCCTTTTCATGTTTAAATATAGGTCTTATCTTGAGTACTCTACAAGGCCTAGGGTCTGATCAGTTAATGAATCATTTTTAGCTCACCTGAGCTGAAAGCTCAATTGAGCTTTTCTGATCACCTTCTGTCCGGCATCCATCTGTATCTGTCCGTACGTTTGTTTGTAAACTTTTCACATTTTTTACTTCTTCTCCAGAACCACAGGCCAATTTTTAGAAAACTTGGCAGAAAGCATCCTTAGAGTTTGTTAAAATGAAGAGCCACACCCTCTTTCAAGTAATTGAAAATTTGTAGGCCTTTTAAAAAATCTTATCCAAAAGCATTTGGCCAGAAAAGCTTTAACTTGTTGTAATCATGTAATGACAATGGCATCAGGACTTTCAATATTGAACCTATTACTGTGTGGATGCATCCTTAGGTAGTGTAGATTCAAGCTTGTTCAAATCGTTCCCCAGGGTAATGTTGGGCCACAATGGAGGGGATGGGGGTTGAATTTTCACATAGAAATAAATAGAGAAAAATCTATTTTTAAGGTGGTTTGGGACACCTGTTGATATTAATGTGGATAATAGTACATAGTAATCAAAATACTCTCACCGTTTTAAAATTCTGCAATATTTTATGAAAAAAAAAATTTTTAAAAGGTAAAAATTACACATAATTAGGCTCAGCGGGATTCGAACTCATGACTTACAAATTGGCAGTTAACGCTCTAACCCATTGCGCTACGTTGTTGTTAGATAACAATTTTAGGAAAGACAATTTGTATATAATTATACTCGATTTTATTGTTTATAGAATATAGGAAGTACAGTACATCACAATATGGAGGTGTCCATACCATCTTTAAAAAATATGAAAAAATATGAAATGACAAAATAGGCTCAATGTTTATGTGGAGAAAAATTTGAAGATCTTTTTAAACATGATCTTGTAGATGACTAAATTGGCAAGATATTTTGTAATCGATACCATAAAGCTGAATTGATCAGAGTTAAAATATGGCTATACATGGTGGCTCAGATGAGCAATGTGGCCACTCAGGGCCTCTGGTTATAATTGTTTGACTGTGTGGTTTGAGCTGTGATCTTATAGTACATTACTGTTACGCCTCAATTTAGAGATCTTCCCGGTTGGGTGGAAGGTCTGGCATGTCTGAAAGTTAACCATGTATAGGTCATGATGTTTGACTTTGGGAGTAATTCATATATAATAGGCAATCTATTCCTGAGTTATTATATCTTTCATAATTGTGACTCAATCACCAATTATTAGCTTATAGATACATACCCCGGTACATGCATTGCATCATATGCAACATTCAATTTCGAGTGTTTTGCATGCAAGAGTCTGCATGTATATAATTATACATCTAAATTGAGGGGGTAGGGGTCTCTTTTATTTTGAGCATCCCAAACAGAGAAACAATTGCATAAATTAGTTTTCTGCTGAAAAAGAACACTGCATCTTAATTACAGGGAATGTCTGCGATTCTGTTTCACAAAACTTGTTCAAGATGATCTAAATAAATGTGCTCAAGAGTGGAATCAACACAGAATTCGACACACAAAGTCTGCAGGACTGCCTGGTGGAAAACCAGATTTGATGTATTATCTTCCAGAGTTATATGGTAATTAAGGAAATATATGTCTTATTTCTCCTAATTTTAATTTGCATACATCAAGATCAAAGCAAATTGTATATAGCTATATAAGGTTAGTTCGGTCAAAGTACCGGGTAGGTAAATTGTATATAGCAATATAATGTTAGCTTGGTCAAAGTTGATAATTACAGTTAGTAAGTCTGGTGTTTTTATTTGTTCTAATATCGATAATTGCATGTACCAGTACTTCACAAATGGAGTATTTTGAGAAAATTAACTAAGCTAGGTCCAATATGTCAAAGAATTACAAATTAAGGTATAAAATTTAAAAATTCCACTTCTCTTGGAGTATGCCTTTAATTTTCTCTATTGGTCCAATGTAACCTAGTGCATTAGGGAATAAAGATTAAATGCTTTGAGTTTCAAGGTCAAATAAATACATTATTGATAATCTTTGTAAATAATTTTTCTCCTCTTAATCCAAGGTCCATTTTTCAGGAATTACTCTAAAATGTTCTTCCACTGGTAAAACACTTGACCCCATTTCATTACAAGGCACACACCTTTCATTTAACATTTATGTCTAGCATAAAGTATTATTAGGTATCATAATTGTATCAGATCTGGTTCATGGATTTGTCAAGGTGGGGATCCCAAAGTGTGCCAGACATTATAATTTAGTATGATATCATTATATATGACTAAAATAATGCTTGAAACATTTTACGACCAACTAAATATAAGCATACACCCTACCACTTATCCATCACCTTCATGTCATTTGTTAACCTTTTGATAAATTGGGTCCCAGACCAAAACTGGCCAAATCTATAGACCATAAAGTAGAGTGGATAAGGAGAGAAGTCACTGTGATATGTTCCTAACCTTAATTTGTATTTATTCTGCAGATACACACAATTTTAAGATGGAGATAGACATTGCTGATGTGGATGCAGCTGAAGAATTCTGCATTCGCCAAAGTGCTTTTGGATGTTTACCAGACTTTGAAGAGGAATGTAAAAACATTATACTTGAAAATTCCCTGTTGTTGCCAACAAATTATAGTGAAGCACTTGCTTTGTATGAATGGCTCATATCTTACTTAAATGCTTGAATATGATATAATTTTTTGCTGATGAACACCATTTAATTATCCAGCACATGGCTGTATGGTAGAATAATCTGTTATCGGAATAAATTTGGAATAAAGTTTTAAAAAAGGGAAACTATAATTATTTATGGTTCATTTAGATAAATTAGTACAAAGGGAATTAAACTACCAAGATCAACTGTAGTTGGCCATGAAGTAAATTTCCTAATTTCAACCAATATAACCCTTGCATTTTAAGTCAAATGCCCTACATTTGCAGTCTCCACTGACATTGTACATACAATGTAGCCTATACATATACTTGACTGCCATGTCTCTCTATAATTCACAAGTCTTAATGACCCCAACCTGCATGGTTATACATCCAAAAGGAGTTTCATGCACTTATTATTTCAGAAACTGAAAGACAGTCATTTCAACCCCCCATGAACCTTGTATTTCAATTCATTGCTACACCAAAAGCCATCTGACCCTAAAGGCCACCTATAATTTTGTCTGATGTAATGAAAGCTATTTGATTGTCTTAATTAACGATGTTTGCTCCTCAGCAATGTTTGATAACTTATTGATCAGGACATGTTTTGTTTATATCACAGATTTGGCTTGTATCTTGGAAATAATATTGCGTTCTTTCAATTACAACATGGTAATTAGAAATGACTGGGTAAATGGTAACATGAAGAATATCTGACTTACGTTCAAAGAGAGTTTGACCTTCCAATATAATTTGACGCAATTCTTAATTTACACAAATCTCAATTCAAACAATTTTCCTTATTAATTTACATCTCAAATGAGCAAATGTGATACATGTACATAAGTTTATTATATGCCATGATACACTGGAGTCATATCATTTTGTTTGATTTTAAAACATGAACTCAAAATGCACATATTGGCAAATAACAATTAACTATGAAATTTATATGGCTGAGGATCAAAGAATCTCAGTTTGTACAATCAGACTCTGCAGTTATTCAATTGCCATTGATTTGAGAACTGTGACTCCTCCTTATAGAAAATAGTAGACTTAATTTGTGAACTCATTATTTCTGAATTTTCTTTTTTACAAAGAAGACAAGATGTGTTTGTGAAACACTGATGCCCCCATATGGCAGCTTATGGCGAAGGTTAAAGTTTCTCAAATGCAAGTCAAAATCCAGGCCAAAAGATAAAAAATGTTGGTACCCAAAGAAAGGTCTTGTCTCAAGGAATACACATATGAAATATGAAAGTCATAGCTCCAACCAGTCAAAAGTTATTGGCAAGGTTAAAGTTGACAACAGACAGACAGGACAAAACAAAAATATACCCCCGGGATCTTTTGATCCCGAGGCATAAAAAAACTCGGCCAAAATTTGAAATTTTATTGTCAATCATAAGAATATTGGTACACACTACTATCTGTAGCTTTAAATTTGCACATTCAAAGTGCAAATAAACAAGCAGAAACATAGATATAAAAATTCTGATCACAGTTAAACTAAAAATGAACTGCCTATATGGGCAACATATTCTAGTCCAATAACCTAATTTATCACTTGACTGTCTATATTATTCTCTTATAATACATGTAAAAGCAAACTTCTCTCACTCTCATGGACTACTTTATATTCCCAGTTCATGATAATAAACCTTTCAGGTGCTTCGTTGGCCTGATTATGTTAACAGTAACAGTTTGGTGTTTCAGGTACATTGTATTGTCATGACAGTAATACATTGGTTAAAGTCCTGCCCTATCCTAAACCAGAAGTTTGGTGTTATTAACATTTTAATTTTGTGACCATTTTCTGAAGCAAAAAGCTTCAATATGTTATAGCTTTATACAATGAAAATTTTCCATAATTTGAACATGCATGTCCTTAATACGCTAATAATTTCTTATAATACAATGAGGTTTTTTTTGGGGGGGGGGGGGGGGCATGTAATGAAAGAAACTGATATCATAATATCGTTTTAAGAAAATATCAGTATTTTGTATCACATTTGTATTGAAAATAATTGACTAGTTATAAAGTAAATATAAGTAAATATAATTGTACCATAGTGAAATATTGAATAGCTTGCTAAAAGTCCAGCTAATACCAACTGAAACAAAATGAGTAAAAATTTGCCATTTTCATTTCACAATTAATTCACACAATTTCAATCAGTGAACAATTTTGTAAATATTAAAAAGTTTTTTGACTTTTTAAAATACACATCATAAAACCTACATACAATCTGAACACATGCACACTTTAATATCTTAACTCTAACCTGTGAGTTAAACACATGGATATATATACACCACCTAACATTTCTCAATAATCAGTAAATAAACAACCCAAATCTAGTGCATTGTCCATGACTTCTTTGAACGCACTGTATGTTTCGGTGACAGGAATGCTCAGAGTGTTGGAACATGTGTTTGCATAAGGGGTAGCAAACACACTGAAATTTTCTTCTGCTTCTGGATGACGAAACTTTAATTTGAGTGGTGGAGAAAACCCCAAAGGTGGAACTGAATCCAACCCAGTGACAAAAGCCAAGATAGATTTGAATTTGTCGGGCGTATCTACAAATAAAAACTATAGGTTTTAAAATAGCAATAGTCAACTTTTGATAATTTTGTTTACTAATAGCAATTCATGCATATATACATATATGTGCAAAGTAAGCTAAAATGCACCTTAACTATATATTATTAGTAAAAATCTTTGAAAGTACCGGTATGTGATAATTTAGATATTCATGAAAATATTATCCTTTGACATTCCACAATAAAGGTCCTATAAAAACCTGTGAATTTTATTTTTTAAGATGTCACCCTACAATGGGCACTTCATCATCTTGTGAAATTATTTGTTTCAGGTATAATTTTATAGCTCAATGGAAATGACATTTATAATACTTAACTGACTTACAGATCCAGAGTTTGAATTAATTCAGAATGGATATGTGATTACTTGAATAAAAGGGTCTTTGATGATCATTTTAGAATCCCGAATTGCTATTTTCCTAGTACTTTTTCATTTCTGAAGATAAATGCTTGACATGCATACATCTTCAAGGTAAAATCTCAGTTGTGCTGATTTGAATACATTTCCTAAAGGTGTTGAGAACCCATAATCGTTCACAGATATATGCATACAATCTTAAACAAGAGGCCCATGGGCCACATCGCAGCTGAACAACAATTCTTGTATCTCTGTCGAAATTTATAAACATGAAACTCTTCTAAAAGACTGTTAAACTCACCAAAATTCTCAAATATATTCCAAGTGACAATACATAAAAACAATGTATAAAAAGAAGCCTACTTTTTTGGACATCAATATCCCAAGATCAAAGATGCATCAGGCCTATATTAAAATATTGTTTGTTTGCCCTTAGCCAACCGACCCACAAAAATCGGCCCGACTCAAAATATTTTATTGCTTTTTACATTTACAATTTTTTATTGAATCATTTCAACCTAATTTGTTTTAACCCATTTAAAAACTTTGTTGAGGTCTTTTAGATGCTTTGATTAGTAGCATTAAAAATAAATATAATTTTCTAAATCTGTGGTAATCCTAGACTAGCTTTTTTGTTCATTCAGTGCATACAGCCCTTGCCGCCTTGGATATTTACTGCACGCAAAGGTGAGAATTTAGGGTGTGAAATCTACATGTTCTGAGGATTCAAGTTTGCTCAAAGAGGGACACTAGGGTTAGGTTGGGGTTAAAATTGGGGATTAATTTTACATAATAATAATATAATATTAATGCATGTATTATAATAATTATTATTTATATAATAATAATATAATAATAAAATCGCTGAACATTTTTCCTTAAGAATAGCAAGGCCACATTAGTCATACTGATATTCAGAATCTTCATGTAATGATCGAAGATTAAAGTCTGATTATGTCATGAGACTTGGACCCACAATCTTTCACGGGAATGTAGAAGGAAGATTTTTCAAAAACAACCTTCTGAAGAGCAGCAATTAAGCAAAATGACACAGTCGAGCATTGTGACCCTTATGCTTCTTGTTATAATTTTAAGAAGAAAAAATAAAATATTTTTTTCTACCTACCTACCCATCATTAAAAATCTGGGTCGGAAAAGGGCAAACAAACATTTTTTTTTAATTTTGACCTCAACTGACCCATCTTGTTATCTTTTGGGTCCCTGTATTGTTTTGGGGGTCATGGTTTTAACAAATAAGAATCTTCACTATATAAACATGTTCAAGCTTTGGTATAAATTATTGGCATTTCTGATGCAGTGGTTCTTGAGAAAAAGATTTTTAAAGACACACACCTTATTTTCACTGTTTTGTGATTATATATCTCCATTTTGAAAAGGTTTAACCCTTTATTTTAACAATTTAGAATTCCCTTCCCATAAGGATGCTTTGTACCAAGTTTGGTTACATTTGGCCCAGTGGTTCTTGTATTTAGAGAAGAAGTCAAAAATGTGAAAAGTTTATAGACAGACAGACGGACAGATGGACAACAGGTGATCAGAAAAGCTACCTTGAACCTTCAGTTTAGGTGAGCTAAAAAGTCTGGATCCTATTCCCATCATTTACAATAAATACCTTCTATTTCAACTAAATAATCTCTCCAGTAAGTCTGTATTCTTAATTCATTTATATATTTGTTACTGCCTTCCTCAGAGAACTCAACAAGGAACATGTTGTCCATTTCCACTGCATCAAGAAGAAGGTCGTTTTTATGGACAAAGAGTCCTCTCATGGCATCAGGATAATTTCTAATCCTGTCAAGTACACCAAGGCATTGTAGACCTTTGGTGAATCTGTAAAACAAGATAATTAGGATTTTGAGATAAAAATTCTTAATTCATCCTGTGGTAACAAGTCGACCCCTATTTTGCCTCACTGACTTTACCCCAGGAAAAAGCAATTACCATGTACAATAAACTATAACTTTTTTTTAATTATAATTAATTAACTTGCCAAACCTTTTAATAAAATCATATATTCCAAACCATATATTTTAAAGTCATTCAAATAACCGTTAATAAAGGTTCATTACTTAATAAGAGATCCTTGCATGCAAGTCTATTT